GGGTTGATTTCCCTTAGTGAAAGGCCCTAGAAGCAGATGGAAGAGGAGGATTCTGGGAAGCTCACCCTGAACACACTGAACTTTGGATCAAAGAACCATGGAACACAACCACTCGCCTGTATCACGTGGTACTCCTGTATCACTGCCTTTCTCCAGTGCTTTCCTAGCAGAAAAAGAATGCTGTTAGGTTTCCTTGTCAGCATTAAGCTGTTGGCTTTCTGTTCCCCTGCCAGGTGATTGGCATGCACTACTTCTCTCCTGTGGACAAGATGCAGCTGCTGGAGATTATCACAACCGAGAAAACGTCGAAGGACACAACTGCTTCCGCCGTGGCCGTGGGTCTCAAGCAGGGGAAGGTCATCATTGTGGTTAAGGTACGGAGCTGTGTAATAGCGGAGTGTTTGGAAAAGTTTTATTGTGATTCCTTATACCTCCCAGCTTGGTGGTAACTATTCTGGGACAAATATCCCGACTTCTGATGTTTTCCCCTTAGTTGTCCACAGTATGGACAGTGGTATTGACTGTACCACTGAGTCAGAGTGGGCATGTCTGGAATATGGCAGGTTCTCCCAGCCATTCAAGACCTTTCATGTGGCCATGAAACTTTACGCTGTGCTTTTGGATTCAAGCCATTCTGCCCCTGGCTATGGCTTCCCCTGCAACTTCATTTTAAGGACTCTGATTGAGATGATAATCACCTTGAATTTGAAATGACATCTGGGGAAGGAAGACCACTTTCAGACTCAGATAGTACCCGCAACAGAGGGGCCAGCGAGCTCATGTTCTCTCCCTTGGCAGGATGGACCTGGCTTCTATACCACAAGGTGTCTCGCACCCATGATGTCTGAAGTCATCAAAATTCTCCAGGTTGGTATTGCTCTAAGAATGTCGGAGGCATCTTCCATGCCTTAACCCAGTCCTCCAAACAGGTAATGTCAAGATGAGCGGTCTCTTCTGATACACTAGCTCCTGACTCTTCTCCAGGAAGGCCCTTTTGTACCCTCCCTTTCCGCACAGTGGTGGGAAGTCATGGGCTTGTGCTGCCAAAATGGGCAGAATTTTAGCTCTGTTCCTTTAGCTTCCTCTCTGCTCCACTGTGCTGTTTCTACGTCCCTTTTGAGGCAGGGACCATTCGGAGCAGGGCCCACTTGGTCTGATTGGTGCTGCATCTGCTTCTGCACAAGCAGCCCCCTCCGTTGGCCATACAGGTCATTCACCGGCGGGAGGGGGTGGCCCCTCCTCACCAGGAACTTAGCAGACATGGGGATTATGGGGCTTTGTAGCATAGCCCCTTGGTCATGTCTCTTTCTGTCATAGAATCTCATTGTTCTTGAGACTCAGAGTTACATACGAGGAAAAAAAATGAATAATTTTTTCATCTCTAGACTTTATCTTCAAGTGCTGTAGGTTAGGGAAGGCTCAGACTTCCCCTTGTGGCTCCCTAACCGCTTGTGTTTCCCTGGGTGAAACAGTCCAGTCCTGGGCCTGGCCAGGTGGCACCAGAAGAGAAGCAGGTGTTGCCCACGCCTATTTCTGAGAGCCGGCCCTGGGAGCCCCTGTGGGGGAACGGGGATGGCCTTCCCCTGAAGTCCCTGCTTTATGTCCCTTTCAGGAAGGAGTTGACCCCAAGAAGCTGGACGCCCTGACCACAGGCTTTGGCTTTCCTGTGGGTGCCGCCACACTGGTGGATGAAGTGGGCGTGGATGTCGCAAAACACGTAGCGGAAGACCTAGGCAAGGCCTTTGGGGAGCGGTTTGGAGGTGGAAGCCTAGAGCTGCTGAAGCAGATGGTGTCGAAGGGCTTCCTGGGTGAGTCGTGTCAAAGAAACAACTGGCACCGTTAGTCACAACGTTCTGAACAGTTTCTTGAGACCAAAGAGTTACAGAGGCCCATGTGGAAGAAGAACATGTTTCCTAAACACACCATGAGCCTATAATCATAGGAAAAATGATTTCATGACCTTTTAGTCTGGACCTGTGGATTATGGACGGAAGGCGGACTCTGGCCTCCTGAAGTGCTGCCACTTCCTGGCCAAGTTAGGCTAGATTGACAGGCGTTTTCATCCCGCCCAAGGCCTCTAATACATCTAGGATGCTGCACTGGCAAGCTCGCATCCAGGTTTCACCATGTTGTCTGGCCGCCTATGTGGAGGCAGTAAAACCTCTAAGTAGAGTACACAGCTGAGGCCCACCAGAGAGGTGGCTTTCTGTCTTAGCAAAGCAGCAGTAAGCGCTAGGACTGACATTGCATATCTGGACGTTAAACCTCACTCAAGTGGCCCTACCCACCCAGATACACAGACTTCCAAGAAGCATCTTTTTTCCTTCTTTGTGAACTCTTCTGTGAAACACTAAATTTCTAGGGTTAGCTAGATATACACATTCAGGAATACAGAAGAGAGGCAGGAGCTCTATAGCAGACTAGCAGAGAAGCAACTTCTCAGGCCTGGACTCTGAATTTATAACTTACCTTTTCCTGCTTCTTTTAGGTCGCAAGTCTGGGAAGGGCTTTTACGTCTACCAGGAGGGTGTGAAGAGTAAGAGTTTGAATTCTGACATGGATAGTATTTTGGCAAGTCTGAAGGTGCCGCCTAAGCCTGATGTGTAAGTCAGTGGAGTAGCGCACAGTGTGGAAACGTTTCTCATCCGCCCAGAGATTCTCAGCCCCTCCTTCCTCTCTGTTACAAGCACCATAGCTGACCAAAAAGAAAACTGCTGCCGGCACAGAACTTGATACTTTTGCCCTTCCGCACGCACACCCCTTCATTCTCTGCCAGGCACTGGGAGAGAATGCAGCCGAGCCCTGGGAAGACCCCTGCTCCAGCATTCCCTCTGGAGATCCCAGAGAACAACTAGGACAATAGTCCCGGGCCTCTTCGCCCTCCAAACCCTTTATTATCATTTGTAATTAACAGCTGCTGCTGTCAAGAGCCACTATCTACTCTGTTGCAGACCCTGTTCTGGGTTCATTAGGGTACATAGCTCTGTACTGTCTTTTCCAAGGGAAAGATTGGCCTGGCATCATCTCGAGAGCTGCAGGTTCAGTACTGGTTGGCCCTCATTCCCGTGCGGCCACTGCAGCCCTTCCTGCCTACTCTTCTCTACCTAAATGTCTCGCTCTTTTGGCAGCTCCTCTGATGAAGACGTCCAGTACCGCCTGGTGACAAGATTCGTGAATGAGGCTGCCCTATGCCTGCAGGAAGGGATCTTGGCCACACCCACAGAAGGAGACATCGGAGCCGTCTTTGGTCTTGGCTTCCCGCCCTGTCTTGGAGGTTGGTCTTGGAGGTTGGGGAGTTAGCTTGCTTTGTCCTAGAGCCCGTGTTGCTGTCTCCTTCATCCAAGTCCCGTTTCTCCATCAGGGCCCTTCCGCTTCGTGGATCTGTATGGTGCTCAGAAGATAGTGGACCGGCTCAGGAAGTACGAGGCTGCCTATGGAAACCAGTTCACCCCATGTCAGCTGCTAATTGACCACGCTAACAGCTCTACCAAGAAGTTTTACCAGTGAGCAGGCCCCTGCTGACTTGCACACTAACCCCAACTACCGGCAGTACTAGCATCTAGAGTTACCAGAACAACCAGAAGGAAAAGCAGCTCCAGCCCTGGTGTGTGCCTTAAGTGCCTTCAGCTAGGACTGTCTCTCCCTCCTGGTGAAGTCTGGCTGTGTTTGCACTTCATGTTGGAAGGTGGAACCCACTGCTCGTGAATTTATCAACCCTGAGACCCAAAGTGGCAGCATCGCTGGAGCCATGTTTGCTGCCTCCCAGGAGGCCAGTAGAGGCCAATGGTGAGGGCAACTCTGCACCCGGCCAAACACAGAATAACAGTAAAACCAGACTTATCAGCCTCCCTGCCTGCTTGTTTATTTTTTCCCTGTCTTTGCCTTTCTGGTTTAAACCCCTTTCAGGGAGTGCACCGGAATAAAGCCCTGTGCTTTCATGATAAGAATGTGTTGAGAGAGTTCTAGGCAGCACCTTAAGAGAGAAGCCTTTTAAACCTGTTTAAATGCGTTGGCTGGGCTTCTGCTTACAGCGGGGAAGTGCCGCTGGCTAACCAGAGCAGCAGATGTTAACAGGTACGGAGGACCAGGATATAACAGACTTCTTCCCTAGATTGCACCTCCTCATTGCAGTTTTACCCAGTTCTTTTCTTGGTGTGACTCATTCACACATGCTCTTCAGGATGTTTGGGGAGAGGCTGGAGTTAAGCAGAAGAGGTAACATTTTCCTGGTCAGTATATCCTGTGTGTCTTGGCTGCCCCAGAGCATGGAAGAAGCCTGCACAGACCAGAGGCAGCACGTGTGAGCAGGACAAGGAATGCCACCAGCCCACCACCACCTCCATTCTGCCAGACCCTCCACTCTTCCCCTCCCCCCACCCTCTGGCATGGAAAGTTCCTACACTTGTGTCCTGGCAGCAGTGCCCAGTCTCGGTAACAGCATCGGGGCTTTTAACTGGGTCTGGCAGAAGGACCCATGCTGAGTGTGCGCAGAATCATAATTCAAGTCCCAACACTGTCTGTGCCTTCTCAACTCTGAGATGTAACCCATTGCTCCTGCCTCTGCGCCAGTTGTGAGTACTTCAAATACCTCCCTGGTCCAGCTGTTGCTGGGACAGGCAGGCGAGGAGCTTAGCTCTGGCTCTGCTGAACACTGATAGTTACTAGGAAGCCAGACTCTAAAACCAGATCATCTCTGAGTTGGGTTTTCAGATGACCAGTAGAAGGTAGAGAACTGATCCTCTATCCTAAGGCCATTAACAGGCTTCTAAACGTGGGGTTCTGTTGGCCAGTACAGGAGGTTCCTGTGAAGTCTGGTCTTTCCACTTGGTAGGGAAGAATTCTGTCGAAACAGTAGTGGGGGTTGGGAGGTTCTGGTGGGGGAGGGGCTTTCAGAAGGACTGGGGGCCAGCACTGCCAGCTGCCTCGGAACGTGAAGTCCTCTCCTGCTTGGAGGCATAGCCACTGTGCTTCCAAAGGAAGAAAGCAGTTGATACCCAGAATTCCACTTGCACTATTCCTCAGCCATCTAGCGTTTATTTCACTAGTCCTTGAGCATTCATTAAGTGACAGGCAAGGAAACCCAATGTCTCAGCATCAGTTCGTGTGTCCTACTTCCTGACTCCCCTTCCCTCAGAGCTGAAGCAGCCTGCTGGGGGCACCAGCATGGCTTCGCTACTCTTAAGACAGAAAGACGGAGGAAATAAATATCTAGGTAGGCCAGGTAAGGCAGAAGGCTGGCACCTCAGGAGCCTGACACTAGAGCATGAGAACCACTGCGGTCCTCGATAGGTGAGACGGGGAAGAGCACGGAGGGACGCGTGGTTGGGCAATGGCCACCCTGCTCTGGGCGCAAAGTAGATCACCAGGCTCGAGATGCAGGGCACGAAGACCTGCCCTGAGGCACGGGAGCAAGTGCAGGAGGCCTAAGCTCCAGGAGGGAAAAGCCAGGTCTTCCCAAGCCGCTCTGCTTTCTCTCTCACCTGTCCTACCTGTGCCACTGACAGAAAACCAGGGAGGGACACCAGGTGTTTGCCAGAGTCAAGGGATGGGGGCAGGAGACCAGTGGAAGTGGAAGTGATTGAAAGCCACGTGCCTCTAGAATCAAGGAGCAGCTGACTCAATCGACCTGCTGTCCCAGGGAGTCAGTCTTCGCAGACTGCACCCAACCCAGTAGTGAGACCCTGGGGCACTGGACATCAGGGAAGCATCTGCCTCCCTAACTGGATAAGTAGGTCAACAGCTGTGCTCTTCTAAAGTCAACCATGAGCCAGAACCCAGAGGTGGAACCTCCAAGGTGCAGTGGCACAGGCTTACACTTGATACACCTGTGCTCAGGGCCAGGGACCTAACCCATCGTGGAGCAGAGGAGGACGGGAAAGGAATCCCAGAGGTCCCTAAACCAGCACCACGACCCCAGGACAGCTTAGGCCAAAAGCCCACAGAGCACGGAGAGAGGGCACTTGAGGAATTTGTGCTTAAATTACAGGCCATCTTCTTCCCTTGTCTCTACCCTGAACCTACAAGCTTGACAAGTGTGAGATAACTGTGAAGCTCTGTAGCAGGGCTTAGGCAGGGGAAAGGTCACCATAAAGGCCAGCTTTTGAGAAATGCAGCAAATGCCTCACCAGGCGCAGGTATGCACTGGGGCCTCGTCTTCTCCCCACGTACTCTGCACGCTCAAAGGCAAGCCTTCCCCATCCAGGGGTCTGGCCCCAGAGGACCCCATTTCCAAGTGTGTCTCCCCTGGATTCACTCTCAGAGGCTACCTAGCAGCCTTGGTCTTAGCACAGATTCTCCCACAGGCAGGACCTGCCTCTGGGAGTGCTGTCCCCATGCAGATGCGTGGCTGGCCCCAGGGCCTCTGTGCCAGCATTCTAGTGTGCAGCTACGAGCTGGGAAGGTCAGATCTTGGGCCGCCAGCCTTTGATGAACTGCATGATCTTCTTGACCTGCAGCTTGGTGAGATGGAAGTCATCTGCCAGGATGTCCTCACTGAGCTGCACAAAGATGCTGCCATCGATGCGTTCTCGGGCAAAGAAGCTCACCACATCCTCTGAGAGCCCAATAAAACGCAGACTGCGAGAGACCTCCTCCAGGGAGAGTGCAGACAGGTCAGCGGGAGGCTGCCAGGAAGAGGCATCCCGGGCTCCCCAGCCTGTGGCCCCGTCCCGGGGACTGGCCGGAGGAGGCCCTTCTAGGCGTCCTTGGGTGAGAAGGAGTCGTGCTCCACTTGCCTCGGGCCCCTGCAGGGCCGCTGGTGACAATGGGGCAGGGACCTGCCGCAGCACCAAACCTTCAGGCTCAAAGGCCTTGGGGGGTCCAAGCGGCGAGAGGCGGGGTCCAGGTCCAGGCACCCCCACAGCTCTGGGCTCCTGACAGCGCAGCAGCTCAGGCTCTGGAGAACCACCCTGCCCCAGCTCAAAGGGGTCAAAGGGCTCCAGGGCTGGTTCCTGCCACTCAGAGGAAGAGGAGGAGGAAGTGGGACAGGAGGCGGGAGCCGCTGAGTAGGCCTGGCCCGGTGAGCCTGGGCCTGGGGAATAAGCAGGGCTGGAGGTAGCCAGGGGACCCGAGGTGGCGGTGGGCCCAGAAGAGCAGGCCGCTGAAGAGCCTGAGGGGTAGACAGGCCCAGAGAAGGGGTTGAGAGCGCCAAATGGAGCAAAGCGTTTCTGGGGGTGAGAGGGCTTGAAAAGAGGCGGGCAGCTGTGGTAGGTCTTGACAGGGGTGTCAGCCCCCAAGAGGGAGGCGGCTCTACTGCTCAGGGGCTCTGTGAGGGTACGGGAGGCCTGGCTGGGCTGTGTGGTCGAGGGCAGAGGTCCTGGGGGTGGGCGGCTGGAGGACTCGCCCGCTTTGCAATCTCCCCATGTGCATGGGTAACAATAGAGGGAGTAGGCATCTGGTGACGGGGAGCCGCTGCCACTGCGGGAACCTGCCCTGTGGGTAGAGAGACAGACACATAAGGAAGCATAAGACAGAACAAGAGGGAAACGCAACAGGGTCTCGGTCTCTCTCTCTCTCTCTCACACACACACACACACACACACACACACACACACACACACACACACACACACACACACACACACACACACACACACACGACACTGTTCTGCGAGGTCACAGAGGCTGCCACTCTGACCTTGGCAACACTGGTCCATACCCCAGCCCCCAAGGCCTGAGACCCTCCGGGATTGCCCTATTCTTTCTTCAGCCATTCTCCCACCCCCAGGAAAAAGTAAACAAAACTGAATTACATCAAAATTTTAAAATAGCAAGGAACACTCCACCCTGTGGCTGTGTCCCAGTCTGGAGCGAACCAGAGCAATGCTCCCATCCAATCCTCAGCATTTAGGAAAGGAGCAAACGGAAGCAGGCCAGTGGAGAGCAAGGGACTAAGCCCCAGGCCCCCAGCCCCCAGTGTCCCCTCCCTCAGTATTGCACCCTCTGAACCCCCATCTGAAGTCTTTCTCTTCCTCAGCACTGGCCCCCTCCCTGCCTTCCCCTGCCTCCATCTACCTCAGGAGGGCCCAGGGCCAAGAGAAGGAAGGGGCTCACCCATCCTGGAGGCCAGAGGAGTAGTAGGACAGGCTGGAGCTGGGTGAGTGGACAGGCTGCAGCTTGGGGAAGCGTGGGGGCACCGGGGGACTGCCTGAGAGCCGGCCACTGCCGCTGCCACCCCGGGGAGGCACAGGTGGGGCATTGAGCAGTCGGCACTCCTCCTTTACCTGCAAGCAGAGCCATGACTCCACCCTCTGTCCCCAGGTAGCTGACACTCCTTATCTTCCTGAGCAACTGGGTGAGGGGAATGTCTGGGACCCACACTTTGTCCCACTTTGCCAAGAGGCTGCCTTGCCTTACACCCCACCGACTTACCCAGCCAGCCACCCCACCTCTTATCATCTCTCCAATCTGTTTCACTCATCAAAAGTATACAACACATGCAGTCTCCTACTGCCTTGGAAATCCATTGTGAATGTAAGGAAAAGAACATAGAAATAGATAAAAAACAATCAGAAAAGTGAACATATTCCCTCTTCAAGAAAAAAGAAAGAGGGAAACTGTGGGGGCAGGGGGAGCGAAGGGAAAGGATCTGCCCTCTGGATCTCTTCCTTATAAATCAAATACTGAAAGTGGACTCCGTGGGATGTTCATGAGTGTTGTCCATATTCTGTGGACAAGTATGGTTGGGAAATTCTGTGTTAAACACAGATAAACAGGTTTCCTTAGTGCAGGACTTCTCAGAGCCTTTACTATGCCAGTGGTCTGTAACTCCCAAGTGAGGAGGTATGGAAGGCTGGGAGTCCTACACACCTTTTCTAAGCTTATTTCACCATGGGACCTTCTTTTCACTGGAAAGCTTAAAGGACTCCTGTGAAACCTTCTGGGTCACGCTGTTGTCGGCTCATCGCAACTTTTCTGAGGCTAGGGACCTACTGGCATCTTTGTCCTACAACTCCCAACGCCACCGCCCCCGGTATCCCTTATTACAAATGCTCTTGCGACCCTTTCCCCCTTTTTCTTCTCTCCTTTCCCCACACCTGGGCCACTCTCTGCCACACACTTCAAGGGCTCGGAGGCCCAGGAGAACTTGCTTTTCAGGCCCAAACCGGGCTCCCTGGCTGTCCCCTCCCCGGACAGAGCAACAGATTCAGCGTCCTGCCTCCCACCCTTCACGCCTCCATTGCGTCCACTCACCGCCTCGGATTTGGGAGGGACAGGAGGCGGCGGCGCCTCGGTCTCCAGGAGGGACGGCCCCGCGGCACCGAAGGAGATGAGGTCCGGCCCCGGGGGCGGCCGGGGGCGGCCCTCGGCGAGGCCCTCGGCCACCTGGTGCGCCCAGAGCTCCTCATAGGGGATCTCGGAGGGAGAGGCGCTGGGCTCAGGCGCACCTGCCCAGTCGGGGCTTACGTACTCCTGGTCGCCTTCGCCCGGCGGGCCCGGGGCGCGGGCGGGCCCAGGGGCGCGCGGGGGCGCGGGCAGGCAGAGGCGTGCGCGGCGCGGGCTGGCGCAGTCGTCCGCCAGCTCCGCGGGCGCCTCGCGCACGGCCGTGGAGTACTCATCGGGGTCGAAGCGCTCGCGGCAGTAGGAGGCGCTGTCGCGCACCAGGCGCTCGACGCGCGGGTCCCCAGCCAGCAAGCCCTGCGGCAGCGCGAAGCGCGGCGTGTCGGTGAGAAGCAGGAAGTGCAGCGGCGCCGGGCCCTCACGACGCAGCGCCAGCCCCAGCACCACCGTCTTGGAGATGATGCTGACCAGCTTGTAGCAGTGGCCCTCCCGCACCGGGTGCAGGTCGTAAGGGTTGCGAGGCGGCCGGCTGGGCACCAGCACGTTCACCGGGAGCCGCACGCGTTCAATGATGGCACGCACCGTGTGCTCGCCCTCCTGCATCTGCAGCTCTAGCGGGCTGCGTGTGCTGAAGCGACCCTGGCACTGGAAGGGCAGGCTCAGGCTCTCATTGGTGCGGTGATTCATGCAGATGAGGCAGGGCATCTTGCCTTTGATAGGCCTGGCGCCCCCGCCGGTTCCTCCCGCACCCCCCGGGCCACCCACCCCCGCCAACGCCCCGGCCCGGCCCAGCTTGCGTAGCAGGGTGGTGAACCGTGAGCGCTCCTTGGTGGTCTTGGCACACAGGATCTCCGCCTGGCCCATGAGTGTGAGCTCGTCGCCCGCGTGCAGTGTGAAGTTGTACACCTCACTGTCCTCGCTGAACTCGCCCGACACCACCTGGGGATCCCAGAAACAGCGAGGCCTTAGACTGAGGCCCAGGGAAAGACAACCCTATGAGGTCCTCCAAGACCCAGGAGGGCAGCCCTCCCCAGGGCTGAGACCAGATCAAGATCACTGGATTGGGGGGCCAGGGAACCACGTTCCATCCTGGAGAGGCCACATGGTGGCCGTGCAACCTTAAATGAGTTACCTCTGGGGGCCTTAGTTACCTCGTGTAATAACTTGGAAGAGTTGCTATAAGGATTAAATAGACTACATGTACAGTGACATACTTTGAAAATATTCAATGTCAACTTTTATCATTATCTTTATAATCTGTGTGATAATAATGCTCCAACCATTCAACAAGGCTACTGAGAAATGGACTGATAGATAAGAAAAGGGTTTGTAAAGAGCTATCTGTACACAAGTGGGGGACTGTGTGCATTGCACTGTGCTGCTAGGACAGCCTGCCCTAAAGTGTGTTCAAGTCAGTGCATGGCCCTGCACACACTTCACCCCTTTTTGCAGGAAGCTCTTCAGCCCAGTGGGTCACATACCCAGCTCTTCTGACATGGCCCAACTGTGCCAAAGACCCTCAAGGGGCTGCCAGAAGCCACCCTATGACACGTTCTACCTCCTGGACGCTAAGGACAGCCCTGCAACCAGGGTCAGGGATTCCCTGAAGGGAAGGGGCAGCACAGGGGCACCATGCAGGTGTGAGAAAGACTGACCTTGACACTGAAGGTGATGGCTTCCATCACAAAAATGCGGTCAGGGAAGACGCTGGCCACCTCCTCCACGCTGCTGAAGTACCTCACTGGCTCCCGCACATCCCTGGCCTGCTCCAGGAGCTTGAACTTGCCTGCACAGGGGGGAACGCAGGCTGCTAGGGTGGGCCTGCTTACTGGGAGCATGGCTTGCATCCCAAGAGACCTTGTGGTCCCACTTGTTACTCTCCTTATCTCAGCCAGCCCCTCTGGAAGTCAGGTGGGCAGAAAGGCAGGTTTGCACCAGCATGGGGTAGAGGAGCTGGTCAGCTGGCTCAAGCCTCACAGGGAGCACAGACCCGAGCAACTGGAGCCCAGCCTTCACCCCGTGGAGAGCTGTGAGTGTGTGATGAGGCTAGCAGCTACCTGCCCAGAGAAACCCAAGTGCAAACTAGCATCCAAACATTTGGACACACAGCTGGCCTCTGACCAAACATCACTGTGGCATTGTGGATACTGGCTTCTAGCTTGATCCCAGCCCCACTCTGACTTGCTATATGACCCTAGACAAGTCCCTTCCCCTCTCAGGGCCTCCTCCATATGAGGAGGCTAGAGCAGATGATCTTGACCTGGCAGCCTGGGCATCTACCTTGGGCTTCTGATCCACACTGATATATTGGGCAAACCAGCAGATCAGCCCCAGGCCTTTGAGGCTTGGGGGGGAACCATTCTGACCCCAGCTCTTTTCCCAGATCCTGTCCTAGTACAACATCCAGCCCCACGGTCCCAGAGACCTCTGATCTGAACCCAGCAAAGCCATCTCCCTCAGATGAGGCCTTCCCAACCTGCAGTCCAGGGCTGTTTGGTTTGGCTGGCTCAGTAGATGCCCCCAGGGGACTAAAACTTTCAAGAATGATGATAATCCATAAAGCTGATACCCCTGTGTAACTGTCTTACCTCACTGGCCACACACCTTTTATGTGCCCACTACATGGGCACAAGGACAAGCTGTGAACTGCCCTGGCATCTGGATGGATGGCCTCTTCTCAGGCCTTACCACAAAGGAAGAGAGTCTTGTACAGGCAAGGGGACGACAAGCCGAAAGAAGACAAAGCAACTCTAGCTTCTATAGTGTTACTGGTGGTTTCTTCAGTCACTGTCATTCATTTATTCATTGCACATTTATGGAGCACCCACTGTGTGCCAGACACTGGACTAGGCCCAACAGAGGGTGCAAACCTGGTAAAATACAGTCTGCCCTCAATGATTTCCAGATACAGTGGGTGTGACAGTGAGCACCCAATAATGGCAGGATGTGACAAGTGCTAACAACAGACTCGTGACAAAAGTGCTAGACTGCTGAGTTGGGGGGAAGCTGCCTGACAGTCTGATGGGATCTTAAGAATGAAGAGTTTTACAGAACAGACATTCCAAGTGGAAGAAAGGGAATAAGCAAAGACACAGGGTCACAAAAGCAGACTGCCTGCCCACAATTGTGCGTGCCTGGAGGGAAGGACTTGAGTAGTGGGATGACAGAAAGTGAAGAAGACAGCAAAAGGTTACAAAAGGCTCTGAATGCCAAGAGGCCCGTGGAAGGAGACTCATCAGACTGGGGCAACTGATGAGGGGCAGATAGAGAGGAAGGGACTCCGGCCACCAGCCTGGTTAGAAATCAAACTGTTAAGCAAAACTGGAAACCCGAAAGAAACAGGTTGTAGGGCAGGGGCTTGGTGAGCCTCATTAGAAGTCAGACATGGGCCGGCTGAGTGGCGCGTTGATTAAGAGTTGGTTTGGGAGTGTGAGCTCTGAGCAGCAGAGCCCCGGTTCAGATCCCACATGAGGGCCAGTGATGCCGCGCCCTCTACAGCTAAGATGGTGAACAACACCTCGACCAGGAGCTAGGCTGCCATGAGTCACCGGTGACGGCGTAGGCTGCAGTAGGTCTGCAGTGGGCTCCATAAGCAACCATGAGTGGCCGGCAGCCAGCGTAAGCAGCCGGCAGCCGGCATGAGCCACCGTGAGTGGCTGTCCAATGGCTGGCAACCGATCTGCCTCACCCGGGAAGAGCGCAATGATCACAATACCAAAATGGGCCAGTGAAGCGACGTCCTCCACAACTAGACTGAAGAACAAAAGGACAACAACTTGTCTGTTCCCCTTCTCCGATTCCCCAACACTGTTCCGCTCCCCCGATTCCCCAATAAAATCTTTAAAAAAAAAAAAAGAAGTACAGACATGAACGTCACCAGCCCACAGGAGGCAGCTTTGGCTGTAGGGCAGGTAAGATGGCTCAGAAAAAATGAAGAGAGGGTCTTAACCCTTTGGGGACTCTCTTCCCAGAATACCCATAGTGTATGCCTAACATGAACACACACACACTTTTGTATACAGTACCAGGGGTTCCTGGAGCCCCCAAACCCAGCCAGAAACCCAGACTGAGACCATCCCCCACACCACCCCCCAGTGCAGGTGTATGAAGAGCTGAGGGTGAAAGGCAGAGCCTGCAGCATCAACTTCTAGGAGCGGGAAGAGAAATGAGAGCCAAGAAAGAGAAGGGAAAATGCTCAAAAAGGTGGGAGGGGAGTCCCTGGGTGCTGCCCTAACCACTCTGAGACCCTGGGGGGAAGAGGCCTGAGATTTGCCACAGCCCTAGAGGGCAGCAGGGATAAACTGGGGAGGGGACCTGGCAAGGAGCAGTGGTCTGGGGTCAGGAAGCAGGAATCAGGGTCGGCTACCACGCAACCATGAGTGGCACCCCTCCTCCACCATATCCACACACAAACCCCCAACCAGGCAGGGAGAAATGCCCACTGCCCCCTGTGGGGAGAGCTGGAGCCAAGTCAGGGCTGGAGCCAGGGGAGGATGTGGCAGGGAAGATCGATGTAACCATGGTAGCCAGCACCACCCCCTCCACTGCAGCCTGGAGCCCAGCACCGGTCATTATAGCAGGGAGGAAGGAAGGGAGACCTCCCAGAAGTGATGCTTAGGCCCCTGGAAGCCTCTTCCTCCCCCCTGTAGCCTCCGGGGGGGGGCAGCTTCCTCTCCTGGTCCCCCTATGTGAGACCCAAGGTCTCTCCGCAGCAATAGGGACCTGCCCAGCCCTGGGCCTGCCCCTCCTCCCTGCCTTCTTTCCCAGAACACATCTGCACCGGCCTGCGGTCCCTTCCGCCTGAAGCAGTCTGGCCTATTAGCCCTCCTTCCCAGCACCTGACCCATGGCAGATGCTCCTTAAAGAACGATGGCTAAAAGCACAGCGTGTCCTGGAGTCCGACTGGCCAGGCTGAATCCCAGCTCTGCCACCAAGCAGCTATGTGACCTTGGGCAAACTATTTAATCTCTCTGGCCTACAGTTTTCCCATCTGTAAAATGGAAGCATGCTACTTGGCTCCCAGGGTGTCTCTGCCAGTGCTCCTCAGGGCACCGCAACCATCGCTGGGGAAGCCAGCCGCCTGGTTCCCGGCTGGGCCAGTGAGGGACTGTCTCAGGAGAGCCAATTGTCCCCATTCCCTGGGCGGTGGGCAGCGCCCCCTGCCCTGCCGCCCTCCTCCCCTCCCCCGCCTTCGTCGCGGCTCTCTTTACGGGGTCCGCAGCCGGCTACCCCTCCCGCCTGCACTATTATTAATTCATTAAGAGGAACCAGCGCGGAGCTGTGCACTCAGCTTCCTCGTTAACCCGCGAGCCAGACTGGCCCCTCCCCTCGTAAGGGCCTCCACCTCCCCTCCCCCATTGGGGTGGGCCAGAGCTGCCCACCGGAAAGGTGGGGCTGGGGCTGTGACATCCCTGCAGCCTGCTGTCGCCTATGACCACCACCTTACATGCGCACTCAGGAGGCACCAAAAGACATGGGAAAGGGTAGGAGAGCCCTGGCTGCACAGTTCCCTAGAAGGTTCTGACCTTGGTTTCCCAGATTTTTAATGACACAAACTGAAATGGCACAGTCCCTGAAGTCATATTTGTCTCAATGAGGACTTTTTCCAATTTTTGCTTTTTTATCCCAAGAAGACCTGGGACCTCACCCTGGGTCAATGACAGATACCCAGGCTGGGAAGTTTCCAGCTTGGGCAGGCCCCCTCAAAGGCTCTAGGCCTAGGACATAGCCCAGCACCAAGTCAGAAAGACACTTGAGTTTCCTCAGGTTTTAAATGGGGTGTGGGGCTATGCCAATTTGACAGGGTTGTTGTAAAGAGCAGAAGCCATGTGAAGGGCTAAGTCCTGTCCCGCTGGCTCAGGGGAGATCCAGTCAAGGCCAGAGGGGGAACAGTGGTTGGTACCCGTGAGGAAGGGGCTGTGTGAGCCTTCCCAGCTCAAAGGGTCCCCAACCTTTGTTGGGAGTGGAGGGGAGTGACTAGCAGTTAAAACACAGGATTGGGCAAGCTACTGAAGCTCCTGGGACCTGTTTCCTTGTGAGGTAAATGAAGTTGATTAGACTTTCTCACAGGGTTGCTGGGAGGATAAATGATGAAAATGTTCAGCCCAGTGTCTGGAACGCTGTGGGCTCTTGGGCTCATGTGGGGGCATCTCTGGAATGGGATCCCCAGACTCCCATCCCTCCCACACATGGGGCAACAACCCTGCATCCTGGTGTAGTGCAGCACCAGCCCAGGAGTCAGGGCACCTGGGTTCCAGCCCCTGCTCTGCCCCTTTCTAGTTGTGTGACCCTGGCCATTCACTTCCCTTCTTAGGTATAAGCTCTGTTTCATCATGTGTAAAATGAAATGGCTGTACTTTCTCTTTTTTAGCAGCATAGTCCTTTTTTGAAACAAAATCTTACGTAGAATGTCAACATCATATAAAACACAGATCAAAATAGAAGTTCATTAGCATAATCTTATTGAAAAGTCTAAAATTTTAACATTCACTTATAAAGTCAATGAAAACAATGAGTTTAACACAAAAATTGGGGAAATCAGGATTAGAGCTGAAAGATGCAGGCAGATTATGAGCCTGAGCATCCCTTTGTTTCTGAGGGTTTTTGGTTGCCTAGTGTGGAGAAGATCCTGGCAGGAGGTGTTCTCTTCGAGGGTCTGTACAAAAAAGGGTTAATGAGGCAGCTCGCAGAACACACTGAAGGTCTCTAGTTAGGGTTAAGGTTGGATTTGTTAACACTTTGAGAGTGTGGGTATTGTTTTAATTGTTATTTTAAAATCTATTATAAAATAAAATGTGAATCAAAGGTTTGCAACCAGAAACCCAGGGCTCCACACAAGAACATGAAAACCACTGGGCTCTAACTCGAACCCTAATCCTAGTCACCATACTGCCAGCCCTGTCCTCACTCATTCCTGTGTCTCCAAGAAAAGGCTGGTCACCACAGCTTCTTCCAAGCCTTCCCTAGCCCCTACCCTCCAGCCTATAACCCCCCACCGGCTTTACACCATCTGTCCCTGGCTGGCACACCTGGGTACTGCAAAGGGATGTCGATCTTGGGCCCGATGACATAGTGGCCTTCCTCCAGGGTGTGGGCTGTCACCGTTGTCCACTGGCGGCAGGAGTGAATAAGCAGGATGTCTCTCTCACTGACGCCCTCGGCATACTCCCCTGGGAGGGGAAGGGAGGATGGATAGAAGAGGAAGGAAAGAAAAAAAGAACATTTGGAGGGGCAGAAAAAATAGGCAGGATGACCTCCTCACCTCCTTACCAAGACCCTCCTGGGACACAGCTCCCCATAATCCTTGTCCAGATCAGCAATGCTCAAGGGACAGGCGGCTGCCAGCTGTGGCTTCAGTGCTGGGTCAAGGCCTGTCTCTCAGGGCTCAGGCTCTCCATGGGGCCCCAGCAACCAGCCCAGCCGCTGTCCTTCATTCATCATTTGATTGGACTGTCTGCTGTCCCTGGCCCTGTGCTGGGGCCAGACGCTCCTAGCAGATGAGCCCAGTCTCTACCCTCTAGGAGCCCTTAGGCCCATGAGGAGGTGGAAAGAGATGTGAACAGAGAATACAGGCGAAGTTTGAGGCACTGAGCGGAGGGCGTCTGGGCTCACAGAGGGGACCAGCAAATTAGAAGAGGGTGGGGTGAGTAAGGAAGGCTTTACCGAGCAGCAGACTCCTGAGCTGGGCCTCAGAACCACCTGAATTCACAGCAGCAGAATTCTCAGCCCCCAAGTCAGTGCCCAGGTCAGGCAAGGAAGATCTTGTTGGGGGAATGGAGAGTGCAGAGGAGTTGTCCGTTGTAAGTCCCAGCTGTGACGGCTCCCCCAGAGCCATGAGTCATTTGGGCCGGGGAATGGCAGGGCTTAGTGGAGCTGATTCCTGGCTCTCTCATGGGCAGCCCCTTTTCACCCACTGCCACAGGCAGTCTCCTGCATTCAGGGGACTTCAAAGGAATGAGGAAAAAGTCTCAGATACTTGTTAACCCCATTTCAGAGTAGCTATTTCTTGGCTCTCCCTCTGTCAGCCCTTCCTCCTCCCAGGTCTTTGGAACACAGTGATGATGGCTGGAGGGGAGTGGATTTAGAATGGGGTGGGGGCTGGGGTTCTAGTCCTGGGGGAAACTGCACTGGGGCAGAGGTGCCTGGGCCCTGGAGGCTCTAACCCCAGCAACGGTTTCCAGGGGAGCAGGAGGGGCTGGCCCAGCTTCCAGGATGCCATGGAGCTGTCTCCTGGCTGCAGCTGGTGGGCAGGGTGGGGGTGGGGGATGCCTCCTTCCCAGCCACCGCAGACACAACTTACTAAAATTTTACCA